GATGACGAGTTCGTCCACCCACTGCGTGTCCCTCTTGGTGGTCTGGTTTACCTGGAAGGTGCTCAGGCGCTTGGTCGCCCTCTTGAGGAACTCGGCGTTCTATCTCTTGTGGCCGATCTTCTGCAGGTGGAGCTGCTTGTCCTGCTCGAAGGCCAGCGCGTTGCGCAGCCGCGTCAGGATGGTCCTCTTCCTGACCTCGTGGCCGCGCTCGCGCTCCCGCTTGAACCAGAGCTCGAGGCGGTGCACGATGTCCTCCAGCGGGCGCTTGGCTGCGGCTTGACCAGGGGCCCCGCGGGACAGCCCGGCGCCTTGGCCCCGGGCGCGCCTGCGCACGTCCACTCGGGGGCGCCCGCGGGCTCGGATGCCGTTCTTGCCGAGCCTCGCCGCGGCAACCTTCCTCTCGAGGGCAGCCCGAAGGCCGCGCCACCGGGTGACCGCCTCACGTTTCCAGCGCCACTTGTGCTGCAGCTCGGCTTTCGCTCGAGGCGGCAGGGAGGTGAACTTTTTCGCGTTGTGCTCGTCCGAGTGCTTGCTCCAGTCGAGGAGGGTCTGGCTCTTGACCTGCGCTGTTGGGTCTCGTCGCGGCGCGGGCGCTGCTCGGGGCTCGGCAGTCCCCTTGTACTCTGCCAGCCTGCCCTGCGGTCTGCCGCCCTCGCCGAAGCCTCGCTTCGCGCCTCGGCCAAAGCCGCGCGGGGCGAGGGACGTGCCCTCGGCGCTCGCAAGCTCTCGGCGCGCGGCCGCGGCCGCAAGTCGCTCCTTGGGGCGGGGGGGAGGGGGCGCTCGTTGCATTGCAGTCGACCCGCGCATTAAGGATGGGCTGCAAGGATGCACGGCCCTTGCAAGGCCCAGAGATGGGCCGAAGCGGCAAGAGTGCAAGGGCGCAGCAGGATTGCCCATCACTACAACGCGGGCTGACTGCAATAATACGACTAGGAGAACGGGGGAGAAGAGAGGAACGAGAAAGGCGGGGGGCGGAATCGAAAAGAGGTTGGCCCCAGGATCGGGTTTGAAAAACTTTGTTGGGTTCGGGGCTTAGGTTTTTATGCATAGAAAACAACTTCAGAATATTCGATTTCTGGAGCGCGCGGATGGGGGGGGGCGCGATGGGGCCCCGCGGGCGTTTTTTTTAGCAACAAAACGGACATGAAAAAGTTCGGTCCCCGGGGGGGCGGTGGCAGAAGGGGGGGGGGGGAGGCAGAGAATGAGACAAGAAAAAAGAAAAAAGGAAAGGAATCAATAGAAAAGCAAAAGCACAGGAAACCGGCAAAATAAAAGGCAAGGAACATGCGAAACATAAAAGAAGAGGGAAATAATACTACTAAGAAACAACGAGAGACAAGCTGAAAGAAGATAAGGGCGAGGAATCCGGCTCGGCCGTCTCAGCCTCGAGCCTCGTGGCGCCGAGTTGCTTGTAGAACTCGTGGCAGAGTCGGCCGTCTCGTCAGGCGGGGCTCTCAGCTTCTCGCGCGAGCTCGGGGCCGCGGGCGGCGAGGTCTGCAGGCCCCAGGGGCTCGACGAGCTCGTCTGCTTCGTCGGCGCGACCATCGGAGTCTCGCTGCAAAGCTGCAGTAGACCGAAACGGAAAACCTCGAGCCAACGTGGCTACGGAAGGTTGTTAGTGTTAGCTTGTCGTTGGTGCTCCTTGATGTTCGCGTGTTGTTCTTGCTTGTTTCGCTGCCGTTGTGGTTTGCTGTGGCTGCTGTTGTGATGGCTGTTGTTTCTGCTGTTGTTGGTGGTGTTGTTGTGCTTGCTGTTGCTGTTGTTGGTGGTGGTGTTGGTGGTGTTGTTGGTGTTGCTGTTGTACATCGCTGTTGCTTCTGCTGTTGTTGGTGGTTATGTTGTTTCGGGGAGACGTAAGACCCGGTTACGGGGGGCTCGGAAATCCCCGACGAGGTCGTCAAAAAAATGACGAGGCCGAGCCTGCATTTTGACGAGGCCTCCCGCTGCAGACATCCCACGAAACTCCTCCTCGTCAAAATCCGAGGCGCGGTCGTCAAAAAACGGCGGCGAACCCGAGTCCCGGCAAACCCGGGTCTTACGCTCCCCCGATTGTTGTGCTGGTTGCAGTTGCATTGTTTGTGTGGCCGCTGCTGTTGTTTGCGAGTGTTGCGTTGCTTCCGTGTGTGTGTGTGTGTTCTTTGTGTTGGTGGTTTTGTTGCTCTGGCACCTGCCACTTTTTTGTTTTCTGCGTTTTTCTTCCTGGCGCCCTTCGAGCCCGGGGGTCACCCCGCTGCGAGTTCCCAGCACCTCGTCCTCACTCTGCCCGAAAGCACCCCGCTCAGAGCTCCCCTCGGCCCGCGAGGCGCCTCAGGGCTGAGTCGGAACTCGGGGCCGAGGCCTGCGAGGCATCGCGCTGCCTCGTCGTTGCAGGCTCGCAGAGACGCCTGCGCTTGTTGTCGTCGAGCTTCTCGTCCTCGGGCGCGGCCTTCTTGTCGTCGAGCTTCTTGACCTCGAGCATGGCCTTCTTGTCGTCAAGCTTCTTGTCCTCGAGGCTCTTGTC